GCCTGCCCTGGGAACCATCAGCCCCCCGAGGCCCTCCGGGAGCTGCCTTGGCCACAGTGGGGCGGCAGAGTGGGGCACACACCCCCGCTCTGTGCGTCTGGGACCCCCCTGCGGGGCGGTGCTGGAGGACGTGGCCCGTCGGCTCGCCTGCCGACCTCTGACCCCTCCTGGCCTGTCTCAGGCCCCTCCAAGGGCGTGAGTCCCGGTGCAGCGCTAGCCAGGGTGCCCACGGCACCTCTGCCTATGGTTTGTTAGCACTTGGCGTTTCCAGGAAGGAGTTTCTCTCACACGTGACCTCTGAGAGGGGCCAGGTCGGACGCTGAAGGCTCGTGTGCAGAGGCAGGGCTGAGCCCCCGGGGGGGCTGCGTGCCGTGGATCTGGGCCCTCACTTTGGCCGACGGGAGTTCCTGCTGGTGGCTCGGAGCCTCCTGCCCTGGGGCCTGCCCACAGCTGTGTCCACTCAGGCCCAGGCCTGAGCCCTGGCGGGTCGGCCAGCTGTCTGATGAGAGGCCGCAGGCACCAGAGTGGCTGTCTGTGGCCTGGAAATCACACGGAGGGTCAGCAGTGGGCGCCGCCGTCCCCCGAGCCCCTCGGTGGGCGGGCACACGGTGTGCCTCATCTCCCGGGTGAATCCTAGGCGGGGAGCACCGCATCGCTGCCCCTTTGTCACAGACGAGGAGGTGGAGGCCCGGGGAGGTGAAGGGGCCTGGCCCGGCTGACAAGGACAGAGCTGAGATGGAACCCCGGGGCCCCTGGCCGCCTGTGGCTGGATGCCGCAGTGTGCCAGTATCCAGGGGTGCTCAGGGGCTGGGGCGGGGCGCTTTGAGCCTCCCGGCATCCTGCTGGGCCTGGTGCGGGTGCCAGCAGGCTCCGCCAGCCTCTGTGGGCCAGAGCTTCCAGAGGACCAAACTGCCTGTGGACAGAGGACCTGCCCCCCGAGCGACCCCTCCACGGGGCAGGACTCTGAGCGCTGGCGACCCTGTGGGATTCCAGGGCTGAGAGGGGGAGCCTGATTGTGAGCCTGCCTTGGGTTTGGGACTTTTCCTCCTGTCGTCCGTGATGTCACAGCCCTACAAGGGGGACAGGCTGTCCCACATCGTGGGGGAGTCCTGTGCCTGGAGTCACACGGCATGAGGAGGCAGGGGGTCTGACTGACTCTCCTGCCTTCCTAGTCCCCGCACAAAACAGGGGGCCTGTGTCCACAAGGGATCTCAGCTTGGGGTTCACTCGTGACCCTGAGACAGGCTGAGGCCCTTGGCCACCCTTCAAGCTCAGCATGTGGGCCGGCCCATTGGGAGAGGCTCAGGCCCTCCCCGGGGTCAGTCTGCACTCCCAGGACAGCTTTACAGGCTCCGAGGGTAGGTGACATGCCATGGTCGTGACCTGGGAACACGGGGGCGGGAGCAGCAGAGGGTGAGGACTGCAGCCCGAGGCGGTGGCGCTGCCTGCACCGCTGTGCAGAGCGCTGGACCGGGGAGTCCGGCGGTCAGCCAGCCTGCCGGTTCCATGGGCGCTGCTGGGTGGGTGGGCGAAAGGATTCAGGGGTGCTGAGTGCCCAGAGGGGGGGCTTCCTGTAAATGCTTCTGTGAGGTTAGAAGGGGCGCCCTGGCTCCAGGATCATCCGGCGGGTGGCTGTCCCCGTGAGGTTTCTGGCCGTGGCTGCGTGCGGCTCCTGCGATGCTCAGCCATCCAGCCAGGGCCCCTGGGCCGTCCCTGGGCCTGCAGCGGGAGCTCCCTCACCCTTGGGAGGAAACGCCAGCTCCAGGTGTGCTGAGCGGGTGTACGGTGGCCGGCACCCACCTCTGGCTGGCTCTCCTCTGCTGAAGGCGGCCTGGAAGTCCAGCCTCTGATGCCAGCGTCCACAGAGGATGCTGACCTGGGCTGTTTGCAAAAGGGGGGGTCTCAGCCACGGGGCCCGTGGGCATTCAGTGTGTGGCCCACGGTGGTGCCCTCTGGACGCTGGCCGGGTCGGTCGCACTCGCTGTCCAGAGAGGAGACTGGGTGCGTTGCTGTCAGCTCCCCCGAGCTGGTGGAGGGTCCACGCTGTGGGCTCTCCTGTGGGGGCCCAGAGCTGCTGCCCCGTCGCTCCGGGGACAGCGTTCGAGCCCCCCAGCCTCGGGGCCCCAGAGGAGGGGCTGTCAGATGGGAGTTCCTCATCGGGCAGTGGGGTTCGTTTAGCCCATCCTGTGGGGGCGGGTGGGGAGGGCCGTCCCTTCTGGAGGCGGGCGTAGGTGCTTCCGGCTCCCATAAACAGGACAGCGGGGACGCCCCTGCTGGTCCGGCAGCTCAGACTCCTGCGCTCCCAGTGCGGGGGGCCGGGGTTTGATCCCTGGTCAGGGAACCAGACCCCACATGCTACAGCGAAGATGGCAGATCCCACGTGTCCCAACCCGGCCCAGCCACACAGGCATTAAACCACCAGGACAGTAGTGGGCTTGAGGCCGGCAGCCTGTGCAGGCGGCAGCAGCCAGGCCTGGGCTGACCGCCCGGCCCCCTGCTTCTCTCGGAATCCGCTCGGGGCTCCAGGGCGCAGCCCTCGTCGCCCCGTCCGACAGGCAGGGAGACGGGAGCCGTGAGAGGCCTGGGCAGCGAGCGAGTGGGAGGCAGGACAAGAACCAGTGCCCACGCCACGTGTAGGTCACAGGTGGTGGGCTCCCAGGGTCCCATCTCTATCTCCAGAGAAGGGGTGACCTCGGCACAGCCTCTGAGGCGTCGTAAGGCCTGGGCACATCCCGGGGAAGCCACCAGCAGGTCCCCTGTGGACCCTGAGGGCCTCAGGCGTCCCACGCGTGTCCCGCGAAAGTCAGAGGCACCGCTGCAGAGGAGGGCGCTGAGCTGCCCCGTGCCCACACAGCCCTCACCTGTCCCCAGGGAGCACGGCCCCGCCTCTGACAGGGGCGCCCCCGAGAGGACCGCACACCTGCGCCCGGGCGTGGGGGGGCCCCGGCGTGCGCCCGGGGACTGGGTGCCCCGACGCACTGTCATCCCGGCCACAGCCTCCCACTGGGCCCGGGTCAGAAATGCCAGAGAGGAGAGGCCTGGGTGTCTGCCCCCAGCCTGGCCCGAAGCTCAAGGCCCAGCAGGACGCCCAGTCGTGGCAGGTTGGACCTCCGTTTGGGTTTGCCTTTTCGACGTCACAGAGGATGAGCCATCCCTGGTCTGGGAGCGCCACATGCCTCCTGCGGCCTGAGCCCAGGCCGTGTGGGAGCAGAAGGCTGGGCCTGGGCTGCCGTCGGCTGAGGGCTGGCTTCTGGGCCTCTGCTCAGTCTCCTGGGCCTTGTCCCATGGTGTCCCCGTACTGGCTCCTTCGGGAAGGACACAGAATCACATCTGCACTTTCTATTCCCAGGGAGCAGGCACGGTTCTGAGGGTGGTGGTGCTCAGTCGTTAAGCCTGTCTGTGACCCCACAGACTGCAGCACGCCAGGCCTCCCTGTCCTTCACCATTTCCCGGAGCTTGCTCAAACTCATGTCCATTGAGTCAGGGATGTGATTCAACCATTTCATTCTCTGTCACCCTCTCCTCCTGCCCTCAGTCTTTCCCAGTATCGGTCTTTTCCAATAAGTCAGCTCTTCGAATCAGGTGGCAAAAGTATTAGAGCTTCAGCGTCAGTCCTTCCAATGAATATTCAGTTAACTTCCTTAGGATTGACTGGTTTGATCTCCTTGCAGTCCAAGGGACTCTCAAGAGTCTTTTCCAGCACCACAGTTCAAAATCATCAATTCTTTGGTGCCCAGCTTTCTATATGGTCCAACTCTCACATCCACACATGACTCCTGGAAAGACCACAGCTTTGACTATACAGACCTTTGTCGGCAGAGTGATCACTCTGCTTCTTAATATGCTGTCTAGCTTTGTCGTAGCTGTTTTTCCAAGGAGCAAGTGTCTTAATTTCATGGCTGCAGTCACTATCTGCAGTGATTTAGGAGCTCGAGAAAATAAATTCTGTGGGGGCATTTCCAGGCCTCCTGGGTGCTGGGCACCATGCTAAGTGTGAGGATCACACAGCTGCAAAGAGGTCTCTACCAGGCTCAGGAGCTGGAGCCTGAGGGGGGACAGGTAGCAAGAGCCTCTGTGAGCTGATTTCAAGGGACACCAGCCTGTTGCTAGAGCTGGCCCTATTGCTCCTGACCCAGGAGGCCCCCCGGAGGAGGTGACTGAAAGGATGGGTAGGAATCGTGCCTCTGATGGCAGGAGAACTGGCCCCAGCTGCTAGTTGGTGGGTGCCAAGGCAGGGCCAGAGTGAAGAGGGCGGGGCTCCATGACGCGGCAAGCTTGCTTTGCTGGGAGCAGGCGCCTCGAGCCTTGCCAGCCCCCTTCCTCTGCAGACTCAAGAGGATGCGTGGCTGGGCTGCGAGGGAGCGGTGGGTGGGTTTGTTTTTGAGCGCGAATCCAGCGCCAGGGACGACAGTGGGGCGGTCAGATTGTCGGAAAAGGTTCTTCTTTGCGGTCCTCCGCCTCTAAGGTCCCCGATCTCTGGTGCGGAGGCCCCTCCTCGGCCGTGTGTGGAGGGCTGGGCGGTCTGCAGGAGCAGTATCGGGCGGGGTGGGGCAGATGAGGGCAGGGCAGAGGCCCGCTGAGCCCCTCTGTGCTTGGGCCGCGAGCCACCAGACCTGTGGGGCTGACTCCTCGCTCCCTTTGTTTCTTGTAGAACACGGCTGGTCCGAGAGCACTTCCCGGAAACCGGACGCCTGTCGTGGCCTTCGGAAGACGCTCCAGGGACGTGTGGCGGTCTTTGCCCCGTGTCTGGGTGGCAGGGCAGCCCAGGAGGTGAGCGGCCTGACCAGGAGGGGAACATGGACCAGTCTCGGGAGACCCCAGCACCAGCCCTTCCTTGCAGGCCCCAAGCTGCAGCCAGCTGGGCCCAGACCGCCCAGGGGTGCCCGCCTCACCACCAGGAACTTTAATTTCATGGCTGCAGTCACTATCTGCAGTGATTTAGGAGCTCGAGAAAATAAATTCTGTGGGGGCATTTCCAGGCCTCCTGGGTGCTGGGCACCATGCTAAGTGTGAGGATCACACAGCTGCAAAGAGGTCTCTACCAGGCTCAGGAGCTGGAGCCTGAGGGGGGACAGGTAGCAAGAGCCTCTGTGAGCTGATTTCAAGGGACACCAGCCTGTTGCTAGAGCTGGCCCTATTGCTCCTGACCCAGGAGGCCCCCCGGAGGAGGTGACTGAAAGGATGGGTAGGAATCGTGCCTCTGATGGCAGGAGAACTGGCCCCAGCTGCTAGTTGGTGGGTGCCAAGGCAGGGCCAGAGTGAAGAGGGCGGGGCTCCATGACGCGGCAAGCTTGCTTTGCTGGGAGCAGGCGCCTCGAGCCTTGCCAGCCCCCTTCCTCTGCAGACTCAAGAGGATGCGTGGCTGGGCTGCGAGGGAGCGGTGGGTGGGTTTGTTTTTGAGCGCGAATCCAGCGCCAGGGACGACAGTGGGGCGGTCAGATTGTCGGAAAAGGTTCTTCTTTGCGGTCCTCCGCCTCTAAGGTCCCCGATCTCTGGTGCGGAGGCCCCTCCTCGGCCGTGTGTGGAGGGCTGGGCGGTCTGCAGGAGCAGTATCGGGCGGGGTGGGGCAGATGAGGGCAGGGCAGAGGCCCGCTGAGCCCCTCTGTGCTTGGGCCGCGAGCCACCAGACCTGTGGGGCTGACTCCTCGCTCCCTTTGTTTATTGTAGAACACGGCTGGTCCGAGAGCACTTCCCGGAAACCGGACGCCTGTCGTGGCCTTCGGAAGACGCTCCAGGGACGTGTGGCGGTCTTTGCCCCGTGTCTGGGTGGCAGGGCAGCCCAGGAGGTGAGCGGCCTGACCAGGAGGGGAACATGGACCAGTCTCGGGAGACCCCAGCACCAGCCCTTCCTTGCAGGCCCCAAGCTGCAGCCAGCTGGGCCCAGACCGCCCAGGGGTGCCCGCCTCACCACCAGGAACTGGGGAGCAGAGCAGCTGATTGCTGCCTGCTGTGGTGCTGCCAAGCGCCGCACCTGCTGCGTGCACAGCCGTGGCACTGGACAGAATCCTCAAAGGAGACAGAACTGGGGGGCTGCCTGCCCCCTCCCCCACCGGAGTTGTTGGTGCAGAGATTCCCCTGAGACCACCCAGCACTGTCAGTGCCTGCAGCCCCCAGACCACCTCCCACAAGCTGTCCGGCCCGACAGGCTTCTCTGGAGCCCTGAGTCTCGGTTTACCCTTCCGTAAGACTTGGGCAGGAACACCTCCTAGCAGAGTTTGGGAGTGCAGAGTGAACCCCAGCGCACCCGCGACTTCAGCAAGGAGCCTGGGAGTGGAACCCAGTCTCTGCAGGGGTTTATGATCCACTGAAGGGCTTCCCAGGCGGCTCAGACGGTCAAGAGTCTGCCTGCAACACAAGAGACCCGGGTTCGATCCCTGAGTTGGGAAGATCCCCTGGAGGGCATGACAACCCACTCCAGGATTCTCGCCTAGAGAATTCCATGGACAGAGGAGCCTGGTGGGCTAGAGTCCATGGGGTCGCAGAGTCAGACATGACTGAGCGACTAACACTTCCACTTTTTCATGATCCACTGAGAGAACTCCCCAGCCGGGTTCCCTGCTGGCCCCGTCTCCCTTTGCCAGAGCAAGTGGAAAGCCTGAGGCAAGGCAGAGCCGCCCCTGCCCCATGCAGAAAGGGGACTTGGCAGTAGCCTCCAGGCGGCTCGGGGCTTTGTCAGCAGCACCTCTGCAGCAGCCAGGAGGGATTCGGTGGCCCAGGAACCCAGGCCTGCTGTGGTGACTGACTACGGGCTTCGGGTCAGTGTCACAGGCTTGGGAAGGGTGTGGAGGCGGCCCTCCGAGTAAAGACTCTGCTGGAGGTGCTGAGTCGGGAGAGGGGACCTCTCTGAGGCCTCAGAGTCTCAGCAGCCTCCTGCTGGTCGCGGGTCTGTTTGCACATCACTGGAATAGATGGCCCACCTGCCCGGAGGTATTCCAGGCCCCTGACGCGCTCCTGGCCCGTAGTGTCCCCCGAGAGGCTCTGGGTGCCCCTGAGCTGCGCTGGCTGCTGCGGGGTCTTAGGGCGGGGTCTCGGGCAGGGCCGAAGCCAACGGTGTGCAGATGTGGGGTGTGCGCTTTCCCACGACTTAAGCAGCATCTCTCTCTCCTCCCAGGCCTCATCCCTCCGCCCGGACGCCTCGGTCCTCTGCTGACGCCTGGAGCTCGGATGACTGTGCCACGCTCAGGTCAGGCAGCGTTCGGATGTTGAAAATCAGAGCTCCCCACCCACTCTGTCCCGGCCCCACCCTGGGCGGGGTATGTCTGACAGAACACAGACGTGTAGCACACGTGTGTGTGTGTGTGCGCGCGCGCATGCATGGAGAGAGGGTGTCACGGGGCCAGACAGGCAATTCCTGCCCATTTGCTCAGGTTCAGCTGGGGGTGCGCCCCACTCAGCTCTGCCCTCCCGCCAGCCTCTTTCTGCAGCCGAGGGACCAGGGTGAGTACGGAGTGAGGGGCTTGCCGAGGTCTCCCCCAGGCGGCTCGACTCGAGACGTGTTTCTGGCTGGCCCCGGCACAGACGGTGGATGAAGCCCCCTTTGCAAGGAGGCAGCCAGTGCAGGAGGGCCTGGGCGGCGAGCTGGGGCCCGGTAACCACTCTGCAGGGATCAGGGGCTCGGCGTGTGAGGACGTCCCAGCCTGCCCCTCGGCCCCGTGCCCTGATGGAGCCGTCGTGCTCTGAGTTTGCTGGGCCCCCCTGCCCCTCCCAGGAGCCAGCCTGCAGTGCAGACTGTCGGGCCCCCCCTGGCTGCTGCCAGCCTCCTAGAGGGCCACGGGGTCCGTGAGGGTCAGGGCCAGACCGTCAGCCTCTCCCTTCTCCCTGCCTGGTGCCACGGCCCGGGACAGGCCTGCCTCCCAGGTCTGCCTGGACAGGACCTGGGACCCCTCTGGCATCTGGGCCTCGCGTGTTTACAGGTCTAGCTTGCCTGCCAGACTCCGCAGACGCCGCCCGAGCTTTTGTGTCTGCACAGAGGGCCTGCGCCAGCCGCTGCCCGAGGGCGGGGATGGGGGAGGCCCCCATGGGGACATCAGGGACGGGGAAGAGACCTGATGGGAGTGTAGCAGAGCAAAGGAGAGCGCAAACGGGTGGAGGCAGAGGCCAGGCCCCGGGAAGGACGACACCAGAGAGGAGGACCGGGGACCGCCAGGCCGTCACGGGGGAGACGGGCCCGCGGGCCCTCTCCTGGGCCCTCCCTGTGGAGACATGGGCCCTGAGAACTGTGTCCAGCACCCAGGCTGGGGCACCAGTGTGCCCTGCGACCGACCCCCAGGGCCTGGCAGACACGCAGGAGGCCGTGAGGGCACGTCCCCGGGTGTGTGCAGGGCACACGCCCTGCCTCTGTACCCCGTGGGCTCTGGCCCACCCCACCCCAAGACTCCACAAGGCCCAGCACAGCTCAGGGGCACCCAGATCCTCTCGGGGGACCACGGGCCAGGAGAACCTCGGGGGTCTGGGGTACCCCCCGGGGCAGGGGTCGCTGTGGGGACCCTGTCTCCAGGCCGTGACCCCAGACTCCCGGCAGTCTTGGGCCCAGCAGGTACAGCTTCTCAACGGCTCTGCTGTGGGGCTCTGGGCCCACCACGCACGCCTGCGTGTCCTGTGGACCCCATCCATGCAAACCCCTAAAGAGCCAGCGGGGCGGCCTCCATCCAGGTCCCCAGGGCGCCAGGGAGAACAGGGCCAATTCCCAGCAGAAAACCGGCCAGCAGGGATACTGACTGGGCCCCATGTGGCTCCCGCCTGCTGCCCAGCAGGGTGGGACAGCAGGGTGGGCAGGGAAAGAGGTCAGGGCGGGGCCCGGGCCTGGACACAGGCCCTGCCCGTCTCCATGAGGGCACCAGGCCCGGCTGTAGCCCAGCTATGTGAGTAGCATCTCCCCTGAGCTGCTTGCTTTGCAAGGGCTCCCCTGCTGGCTGCAGCCAGGTCCGTGCACCGGGACCCTCTGAACCTGTCTGCCATCTTTAGAGCGAGGCTGGTCTCCATCCCGAGCCTTCCCTCTGCAGGAGCAGGAAGGCGTGGCAATGGAAGGACTCAGGGCTCCCAGAAGAGTGTCGCTGGCCTCTGCCTCACGGCTGGGCTTCTGAGCCAGGCACTGGCTGATGGGGTGAGGGGGCCGTGCCTCTTGTCCAGAGGAAGTGGGGAGGGGACTCCCCAGAAGGGACATGAGCCAGGAAGCAGGATAGGAGTCTTGAGGCGCCAGAGGCTGTTGTGGACGGCTCAGGCCGGGTCTCAGTGCTGCAGGAGGTCAGGCGAGCTGCGGCCAGGCACCCCTGGGGTGTGTCTTGGCAGCCGCCCCTGTGGCCCCCTCTCCCCGCACTGGGCAGACAGGAGATGCCAGCCTGGATCATGGTGGGGTGGCTGTGCCGGGGTGTCCCGAGAAGGCAGGAGAGCCCCTCAGGCCACTTGGTCAGAGGCTGCCCCGACCTCAGGCCAATGAGGACCCAGACCGCGTGAGGCATCCATTCTGGAGGCCACCCAGAACCCCCCTGAAGGGGCAATAAGCCCTCTGGCAGCCGGGTGACCGGGAGCTCGGGCAGGAGGAAGGTTCTGGAGAGGGCGCTGCCCGCCCCTCTCCCCGGCCCGGCCCACTCGGCCCGGGCCGCTTCCTGAGTGGACGTCCTCCCGCGCGGGCGCCCTGCCCTCCGCGCCGCCCGCCTTTGTCTTCCCAGAGCCGCACAAAATGGCCGCCGCCCTCCGCCATTTTGTGAGCCGGACGGCGCCTGGCCCGAGCCCAGCCCGGCCTTGGCCGTGGCCGCCGCAGGCTTGGCACCGGCCGGCGTCTTGGCGAGGAGTCTGGGAGCCCCGACCCTGCCGGCCCCTTGCCGCCCCAGGCTAGTCCGCCGAGCGCGTGGAGACGATGCACGCCAGCGTCCGGGAGAGGCTCCGTCGGGAAGGCCGTGCCCTGAGGGGAGACCTCGCGGCCGCCGCGGACAGTTCTAGAAATGACGGGGTTGGGGGGAGTGGGCTGCCAGACACGCCGCACACAGAGGCAAGTCTGTGTGGGCCACGCGGAGGAGACAGGCGGCGCCCTCAGGCCCCCGAGTCACCCGCTTTCCCGCCTGAGCAGCCTCAGGCGGCCTTCCGGTGGGACCTGGCGAGAGAAAGCTGTCCCGAGAAAGCTGCCTGTCCTGAGGAAGCCGAGGCGCTGCTTCCTACAGGAGGGCGCTCCCTGCGGCCTGAGCCGCACAGCCGGCTGCGCCCACCGCCTCAGCACCCCCGGAGACCAGATCCTGAGACACCAGACCCTGAGACCCCGCTCCCCCCAGACCCCCGGAGACCAGACCCTGAGACCTTGCCCCGCTCCTCAGAGTCCAGACCCTGAGACCCCGGCCCCCGGCCCCCCGCAGACCAGACCCTGAGACCCTGGCCCCCCGCTTCCCGGAGACCGGACCCTGAGACCCCCGGAGGCCAGACCCCGAGACCCCGCCCAGACCCCCAGAGCCGGGGCCTCTTCCTCCCAGAGACAGAGCTCCTGGGTCTCCTTCCGCACCCCGCTCTCGACTCTGTGTGAACCCGCGCCACCCCCGCAGTCAGCGCCAGGCGATCGGGGCAGAGGCGGCGGCCGCGGCGGGGCTGGACGGGGAGCCGCCGGGCGTCCGTGCCCGTCCGCAGGACCCAGCGACGAGGGCCTCTGATGGCAGTCCGCGTGCTTCCTGGAGGGGCGCAGCGCTGTGTCCGGGAAAAGAGGCCGGGCCGGTGTTGGAGGAGAGGGCGTGCGTGTTACAGGGGCTGTGCCCTTTTCCTGGCATATGGGGCGGCCCCGGGGCCACGCTCTGGCCTGTGGTCCCGGGCTGGCCAAGGCTAGGCGCGCGCCGGGTAGCACGCTCGTAGCAGAGCGCACCGCAGGGCCTCGGGAGCGGTGGGGCGGCATCCCCTGACACCCGCGGTCCCGCCAGGCCCTCCAGGCTGGGTCGGCTGCTGGGCACAGAGCCCCCGGGTTTTCCCGACTCCCGCTCCTCGCGGTTCCTGGAGACGACATTCTGTCACCATCGAGTAGGGTTTGCGCATTGCGCCCTCCCACCGCCCGCTGGGGAAACCCAGCCAAGGACCGGGTGGTGCCACGGGCGGCCAGGTCCGGAGCCTCCCGGGGTTGGCGGGGGTGGTGCTCAGGGAGCCCCGGCAAGCAGAAGGCACCTCTTGAGGGGCTACGGCCAGGTGGGGCTGCCCCGGGGCGCGGTTTCACGCCGGGCGTTTTTAATGATGTGGTTGCATCTGGTCCCCCATCCACCCCCTTCTTTCCTCTCCTTGCCTTGTGACCCAGACTGCGGCTGCGACTGAGAATATTTCCAGATAAATATGCACTTTTGAGGTTAAAACGATTGCCTAATGGTTAAACGGCAGGCGGAGACACCCACCGGCTGGGAGAGGACTCTGCCTCCTGGCTGCTGTTCCCTTTGGACTCCGCAGACCCTCCGCGGTGAGGAGCGCTTCCCCGGTGATCGCGCTGCCCCTGGGCACGGGCACCTGGACCTTCCTCCCCACAGCCCTGGCTGGCATCCTTGCCCCACTAACCGAGCAGCTAGTTGAGGCCAGAAGTGCTGACTGACTTGCCTGAGGCCTGTCGCTGATTGAGGCCAGAGCAGGGGACAGAACTATGGCCGGGCAGCTCCCAAAGCCATGTGTCCCCGGCCTGTGCCCATGGCCCCCATGAATGCAGGGGTGTCTGCAGAGCAGGGCTGGATCCATTGCCTGGGCAGCTTTAGCCTCCCGGCCAGGAGGAAACTCCCAGCCTCCTAGATGTTAGAACTTTCTGGGGGCTTTCGGACTCACACCTCTGTGGGCAGTGAACCTCAGGCTCTGGTGCACCTCTGGCCCCTTCCCTGGGGAGTGGACATTTACCCTGCGTGCCTCCTCCCAGCTGCAAGCTTGGAGGAGGACAGGAGAACAGGCAGCCATGGCCGGGCACAGACTTCCGGGCATGGGAGACCTTGACCTAGGGCACAAGGGTGTCTGTCTCGGGGAGGCTGGGCAGGAAGGGCACCAAGGAGAGAGCCCCCGGCTCCCTGAGGAGAAAGGCAAGCGTTCCAGTGTCTGTGGGCGCCCCTTCCCCACCTGCATGGCACCACGGGCTGTATACGGAGCGTGGGAAGAGCCGGGGTCAGAAGGCCGGCTTCCAGATCTAGTTTTTGTTCCTCTGTCGTCCCCCCCGCCGCCGGGGTAATCTTGGGGCGTTGAAGCTACTGCGCCCTGCGCGCAGCTGAGCTCAAAACAGGAGTCAGTAAGGTTCCGCTCTGCCATAAGTTTGCCTTCTTATGCCAGGGGCCTTTTTTGCATTTAAAAAAATTTTACATGGCAACTTTTGATTCCTGAGTTTGGCTGCCCCTTTCAAGTGTGTGCCCGGCCCTGCCCAGCCTCTGCCCGGCCCCAGCCGGCCTCTGCCGGGCGCACATCTCGTTAACTTTATGGGCCGTGTTTGTAGGGAGACCCGGCCCCCAGATGCCACCCCCCATGCCTTTTTCCCAGACTCCATTGTTGGCACGGCTTGCCGAGCAGAAACACTGGCTGCTTTATGGGGAGAAACCTAATCGGGGTGGTGGTTGGGGGGGGGCCGCCATACGGGGGGGGTCCCGGGTCCCCGTGGCCCCAAGCCAAGCCTGAGGTGACTGCGGGGTGACACCGTCTGCCTCGCTTGCTCCAGACATCCGCCCAGCCCTGAAAGGGCCACCTACCCACCGAGGCCTCCCACACACCTGTCCCCGGTTGGCCTGTCTGCTCCCTGCCCGGCGCTCTGCCCACGAGCCGACGCTGGGGCCTGGGGCTGGGCCGGCGGTGGCAGATGGCAGGGCAACTGCTGACCACTCGCTCCCGCAGCCCTGCCCAGGGAGCCCCTTTCATGGCACAGTGCCTGCTCCTGCCGCCACCCCCGCTCCAGGCTGACCAGGAAGGGTCCCTTAGGAGGTCTCAGACCCCTGCCACCCCACTGGAAGAGGGGAGGTGTCTGCTGACCCTCTCTGGGCTGGACCCACGGTCACTTTTAGGGCTGTGGGGCAGTGGGCTGAGCAAAGCGTGCTTCCTGACACCCGGAATTGGCGCCTCCCCTGCTAGCTCCGAAATGTCTCCACGATTGGGTCTCAGACCTGGGTCAGTCCTCCTCCTTCCCGCCAATCCTGGGTCGTTGGCTAAAGAAAGAGCCAGGTTGTGTGGCAGCGGTTCCCTGGTGGGCAGGCAGAGCCTGAGTTCAGGGAACCCTGCTGGGGGTACACCTGCCTCCTGCCCACCTGGTGAGGCCGTTAGCTGGGCTGCCCGGCGGGAACCCACCCGGCCCTCGTGGAGAGAGGAAGTCCCCCTCGTCTGTGGGTATCTTCACGGGCACTGCTTGAGTCAGCTGCACGCCTGCCGCAGGTCTGGGTGTCCAGACATGAGACCTGGGGCCCAGGAGGGCAAGGCCAGCTCCCAGAGCCAGGACAGAATGAAAATTCACTGCCCTCCCCCACCACTCGGGCCTCCCGATGAGGGAGGGGAACGTGTGTGGGGAGCACAGAGTCTTCACGGGCAACGAGGCAATCACTCCTGGCTCTGGAGAGGCCTGGGCAAAGGCCAGGAGGCCCGTGGCAGGGTGGGGAGGGCTGCCCAGGGCACTCTGCTGCTCTGGAGGCTGGCGGGGGAAGTGACAGGAGCCTGGCCGGGCGGGGCACAGAGATGTGCGCCCAGGTAACTGATGGGCGTTGGGCCTCTGGGAGCGCGGAGGGACGGGGCAGGACAGCACCCCCGCGGCCCGGTGGGCCGCCCTCCATCCCTATTAGTGGCCTGGGACACCAAGTCTCCGTGGTTGGTACATGCCAGGGCTGGACACACCCCAGTGAGTCTGGCTCCAAGTCCAGCAGCCCGGGCTGAGGTTCAGAGGCCCTCCAGCTGGCCGAGCGGGCTGGAGCCAGGTGGGGCCGTGAGTCACTGAGTGAGCCATGGCTGCGGCCTCAGACTGGGTCCCGGGTGCCCCCTCCCCGGCGTTTCTTCTCTTGGGACGATCTGAGGCTTCACTTTGCAACTTCATTGTTGGGAGCCTTCTCTGTGAATTGGGGAGTTTGGCTCCTCCTCCTGACTCCCACAAATGGCCTGACACATGGGAGGGCAGCACCCATCCCTTCTCCCCTGGCCGGCCCCCCACCAATGTCCAGGCCCCAGAGTGGGCCTGAAAGGTCTGGCCATCCAGCACGGGGACGCCAGCGGCCCTGGCCACTCACGGATGAAGCCTGGATCTTGTTCATTCCCCACCTGGGGTCGTTGGGCAGCCAGAGCAGCCACACTCTCCAGGCCTTCCCACGGCGTGTGTACCACCGTAGTGAGACAAGTTGGGCTGAGACGCAGGATCCGAAGGAGGTGGATGGGCGAGTCCAGGGAGGAGGCGGGGAGCAGCGGCCGGAGCTCAGGCTTGGCTGCACCTCTTGCACAAAGTCTGATGCTTGTGTCTTTTTTTCTAAACCCCAACAGGTCAAGAAGTAGCGCTGAGACGGGAGTGTTTGCCTGAGGCCAGCGTTCCTCGTGGTGAGCCCAGCCGGGACCCCCAGGAGGCCCGCGCTGTGGGACACCGGTCCACCCTGGCCTCGGTGTGGTGACTGTCCCCCACAGCTGACTGTGCACACCCCTCCGGCCATCCTGGTGCTGCGAAGTAAGGAGCCACGGCGGGAGGATTGTAACGGGGAGGGATGTGGTCAGAGCTGTGTCTGTGATGCCCTGTGACCTCAGCCGTCAGGGAGGACCCTTGGTCACCCTCTCCTCAACCCCTGTCCTCAGAGGCGGGCCGGCTCTGTCCTCGGGGACTTCCTGGTCCTGACTGCCGGTGGGGAGTTCAGGCAGAGACAGTGGGACGGGACCCTGAGGCCCTCTCACGCAGAGTCCCTTCTGGGGCTTCGAGGAGAGACAGGACAGTTGTGACCACAGGCCAGCCACGTGTTGGGGTGTTCCTGGCTTCCCGTCCTGGCGGCTGCACCTCAGTCTCATCCTCTGGGTGGACAGCCCGGAGTGGGCACTGGAGTCCTCATCCCTGCTGAGGGCCCTGGCACTGACTTCATACCCCTCGGGGTTGTTCGGGGAGCAGCCTCTGCGCTGTTTATTGGGCCTGGGCATGAGACCCCCGCTGCTGTAGGGAGCGAGGCCAAGCCGGGGTGAGCCAGGGGGCGGGCCCTTCCCCTGCCCAGGGCCCACTGGGGTCAGTGATCCTGGCTTCCCCATGGCACAGAGCAGCCTGGTGGCTGCCTGGAGGAGGCAGCCTGCTCAGAAGGGGCATGGGGGGAGGTGAGGGGCGTCTGACGGCTCGGCGCCCTTGTACAGCAGTACCAGTTACAAGGTGGAGGTGTCACCAAGCAGGAAGCAGCATGACCTGTCCTCTGCCCTGCCACCTCGTCGGTGTGACTTTGAGACAGTCACGTGACCTGTGTGGGCCTCAGGCTCAGGCGCCAGGGCCTGTGTCTGCAGCTCCAGCCCAGACACCCTTCCCTGAGAGCCAGGTTCGCTTCTGGAAGGAGGGAACATTCTAGAGCCTTTCCCCAGGGGGAAAGCCCCGGTTACCCTGATGGCAGGACCAGGCTCCAGGGGAGGGAGTGCACCCCCCCCAGGTCCAGTGGGTGGAGGCAGGATCGGGGGTGGCTGTGCTGTGAGATAGGGGCGCGGTGGGCACTGTGGCCGCTTTGGGCACAGGTTGATCTCTAACAGATGCCAGCCTTCCTCCCAGCGTCTCCAGCGCAGGTCGCCTGGGGACACCACGGCCTCTCCTGTCCAGATGGGAGCGGCCCTGCCGCCTGTGAGCCTCTCCTGAGAGCCCCGCGGCCCTCTTGGCTCCACCACGTCCCTGCTCCCTCTCCTCCCTCCTTCCCTCCCCGCCCTGGTCAGCGGTCTCCTGCAGGGCAGCTCCCTGGGCACACAGGCCCCTGCTGACCCGCCTGCCAGGGCCCCGGGCCCTCAGCCTCCAGCTCCACCCCGAGCTCCTGCCCCCACCGCCGCCTCCAGGAAGCACCTCCGGGAGCCACCAAGTCCGTCCAGCCCAGGCGCCAAGACTGACTGACGGCCCTTTGGGGTGAGGTAGTAGGTTGTATAGTTTGGGGCTCTGCCCTGCTATGGGATAACTATACAATCTACTGTCTTTCCTGAAGTGGCTGTAATATCGACAGCGGCCAGCACCCAGGACTCTGGCTTGGGGGGTGGGGGGGGCAGGGGTGCGGCCTCTGCAGGGTGGGGCAGTGCTGTGTGGCCTGGGGCAGGTCCCGGGGCCAGCTTTGACCCGCCAGCCCGTCCAGCTCAGGGTCAGGCCTCTGGTCGGCGGAGGGAGGGGGGCCTGGACTGTGCTGTCGTGGGCAGGAAGCGAGAGGCGCGTTCTCCAGCCCGCGGCGGCCCCGTGGGGCCCGTGCCTGCTCTCGGCGCCCGCAGGCGGGCCGGCCGCCGCGGGGGAGCCGTGGTGCCTTCGGCGTGGCCCTCCACAGCTCCGGGGGCCGCGGGCTGGGCAGGCGGCGGACGGCGGACCCTCCCACAGCCGGGTGCCGGCGGGGTGAGGTAGTAGGTTGTGTGGTTTCAGGGTAGTGATGTTGCCCCCTCGGAAGATAACTATACAACCTACTGCCTTCCTTGAGGGGCCCAGTGACGTTCAACGGAGGGTCCGCCCCCGCGCGCACAGGCGACTGGGTGGCTGCAGCCCCGGGCTGGCGGGCGGGAGGCTGCAGCGTACACACCCGGAGCTCAATAAAGCTGTTCAACGTGGAGATGGAGTCGGCCCTGTTCCTTCTGGGAGCCTAGGGGCTGGGCGCTGGAGGGCATGCACGTTGGGGTTGGGGGCGTGGGTCTGGCCCGACGGGGGGCCACCTCCGGGCTGCTGGGGGGTCAGCACACCCTTGTCTGCCATCCCGGCAGCCTTCAGGCCCTCCTGGCGGGTGCAGTCCTGGACCCCAGCTCCCACCCCTCTCACACCCCGTTTGAGAACAAGCTGTGGGACCCAGGCTCCAGAGGCGTCCCTGGGCTCCCACCTTGGTGGAGAGGCCCCCTCAGGCCCCCTTGCAGGTGGTGTGGACCCCCGTCAGCTGCTTAGAGCACAGTCCAGGCCTGGCCCCCGACGCTCCCTCAGACCTGGTGCCTGACCGGAGCCTGGACGTTCCCAGCGCCCTCAGGACAGTTTCCGGAGTAGCCCTTAACATCAGGGTCCATCTCCGGGCTGACTGCCTTCCCAGTGTTCACCCAGCTTCTGCTGAGGTCTCAGGCTGTCTGCCAGTGGCTGCTGCAGGCCTGTCCCCAAGACCCCAGCCCAGGTGTTGAAGAGACCAATCACCCTGACCCAGAGTACCCTTGGGGGTTGGGCTGCCATGCCCGGGTCCACTCCCCGCCCTGCGATCAGAGCTCATGGCCTGATAGGGAGCAGGCCAGACACACAACAGCCACCTGTTGTGGTCAGCGCCAAGATGACGGCAGTCCAGGGGCTAGGAGAGCCCTGAAGAGCCCTGGGCCCAGCACTGCAATTGGAGGTAGCTTCCTGGAGGAGGTGACACCTGGCTCACCTTGCAACTTTCTCTACCTTCCAGTCAACCGACTTCCAGCCTCTCCTCTGACACCAACTGGCCGACCCCAGAGACCAATAGGGCCCCAGATGCGGGCCCGAGGGGCATGCGGGACAGGGTACCTATCACCTGGTCAGCAGTAATGTGCAGAAGCAGCTGAATCTCAAAACAAACTGGATGAAGTCAGGGTGGGCAAAGCAGCTACTTTGTGAGGCCCTGGGAAGTGGCAGAAAGGACTGAGCTTCAGGAGCAGAGGCCTGGGCAGCTACTCTGCTCACCAAGCCTGTTTCCTCATCCCATTTCATAGGGGCTGTTGGATGGATGGAAGGAGCTAGCAGTTGAAACTGCTCAGCTGGGGTAGTGGAGCGGGGTGCGGGAGGGAGGGAGCTGGGGGCCAGCCCTGAGCGCTGGTCTGAAGCTGGGCGCCTGCTGCCACCTGCTGCCTAACCAGGGAGTGGCTCCTGGCCCGTCATGGGCCCTGGGTCTGGCCAGCAGGTGAGCAGGGTGGAGAGCAGGCTGGGGGCCCCCCAGACTGTCAGCACCCCCTGGGTAGGCCAGGACCAGGCTCAGAGGTGTGGGTGGGTGCTGGGGGAGAGCGAGAGACCACGACCCTGGAGGTGATCCCCCGTCCCCAAGCGTGTAGAAGCCAGGCCTCCCTCGGACCTCTGCCGGCTGAGACAGGCCACGGAGTGCAGCTGTGTCCCGCCGGGGCGAGGTCTGCGCATTCCTGCCCTCCCTGGGAGGCGCCTCATCAGAGGGACTCGAGGGACTTCTGGGGTGCCCAAGGTGAGGGGCCTTTGAGAGGCCGTGGGCCTCAAGGTTCACAGGGACCACCCTGACCTTGCACCCTCTGGGAGGGATGACAGCAGGGCCAGTCCAGCGTTTAGACCCCACAGGCCACGACCGAGCCAGGGCCCGCCTGGCCAAGTGGGCACGGAGGGGCCAGGCCATCCCCCAGGGCTGAGGCGACGGGCGAGATGACCAGGGTCCGGCGTCTCAGGGGACACGCAGGGTCACAGGGCACAGCTAGCCTGCCATCGGCAGGGCGGGCACAGCGCCAAGGCCCACATGCTGTTCGTGACAATGGCAAGTCTCACTTCAATTCCGTTTGAAACTCGAAGGAGAAATGAATACAATGATACTGACTGTATATTACATGTAATACACGATATATGTAGTGACTGTGTATAATAATACATACTATTTAACACATGGCATCCATAGCAATGAAACCAGCTTGGAGTTCATTGGTCTTTACGCCGCCAGGTCCTAAGACATGTTCCGTAATCATGTTTATGGAGGAAGCACCCCTCCCCCGACCCTCACCCCCTCTGCTCTCGTCCCCCTCGGTCCCCCCTTCCCCGGCCAGCTGGAGGGCGGGCTGGGCTGGGCCCCGGGCGGCCCCTGCCACGGCACTGAGCGTCCCCAACAGCGACACCGTGTGGCGGGAGACCGTGGCGGCCGGTCGTGGGCCCTCCACTGCCCCGGCCCAAGGCTGTGGAAGGGGCTGACCCCACCAGGGGCCAGAAGCCTGGGGTTCAAGGTCAGCCCGGCGGGGAGGGCCCCAGGAGATCTTCCTGCGGACAAATGACTGGGCAGCATTCACCGCCCCCCCCGCCACGCCCTGGGCAGGGTGAACCCCTGCATGGCCCCAGGTGACCCAGCTGGCAGCATCCTGCCCCCCATTGGCACCCTGCCTCACGGCCACACCCACAGCACCCCTGTGAGGGGCAGGGCTCCCTGCCACATCTGTCACCCTGTCTCCAGGCACCGCCTGCAGTCCTGAGGCCATACTTTCTGCAGGAAGGGAGACAGTCCCCGCACCTGGAGGATGGAGACCCCATGATGGGGGCAGCCCCGTCTGAGGGGCCTGACGTGTAGGCCTCAGATGCCAGGCTGAGATGGGAGGGCAGGGTCTGGCTCTTGCCGTAGGACCGGGGCTGCCTGGAGAAACTTCATGCCCATCGGTGTCATTTAGCAGAGATGAGTTTCCACCGTGTTGTCCCTTCTGGATCAGGCAGGGTCTGAGGGTCCAGGATGGGCTGGGGGGTGGGGCTGGGGTCCTAGGGGCATCCCTGGGTCAGTTGGGTGAAGGGGCTGAGCTCAGCTAGTCTCTCTAGAAGAGGAGGGGGCGGCACCAGCTACAGTTATGCATGGCAGAGCCTGGACATCTGGAGGGCTGAGATGGGCCAGGAGGAGAGGGCCTTGAGGCCTGGTCTGTGGCCTCAGCTGTTCTTGAACCCAAGGCTGCTTTCTTCCCAGCTTCCTGCTTGGTGGCCCAAGTTCATCATCCGCCCTGAGAGCAGCAAGTGCCCCTGGTCCCAAGGCTCCCATGACCTCTGAGATCGCCTGCTGCAAAAATGGCCCCAGCTCCTGCACATCTCCATGGTGACCAGGTCTCCGTGGCAGGGCTGACTCTCCCAGGGATGGGAGTGGAAGGCTCCAGCCACTGGTGTAAATACTCCCGAGTCAGCCCCCACTGGGGATGCCACGTGCCGGGGCCATGTCTCTGGCCCTTAGGCAGGAGGCTGCAGTCCTGAGCCCGTTTCATGGGTGTGGACACTGATGCTCAGAGCTCGGTGACTGTCCCTGGGCCACACGGGGCCAGGGCAGAGCTGGAACCGCAACCAGGCCCGTGTACCCTAGGCGGTCCTGCAGCTGTCACCACCCTGGGGTGTCGGCCTGCCCATGGTGAGGGGATGGGGGTGCAAAGAAGGGGCAGGTGAAGTTCTGGACTCCCTTCCCTGTGGCCAGGGAAGCAGACCCAGCCCAGGGCCTGCCCAAGGTCCTCTGCCATCTGCCTCACACATGAGGGTCCATTTTAACAAGAACAAAGTGGCTGCCTACACCCCAGACACCTGGCCCCTCAGAAGGAAGTGACTCCCTCTCCCCACAGGCTTGACCAGGGCTTAAAGGTGGTGGGACCTGGACCCCAGTGCTCTGCCTTCTTCCCAAATCCTGGGTGTCAATCCCACAGCCAAGCCACAGGTGGGCAGGGCAGCACAGCGTGGTGACCGCTGAGGTCTCCAGGGAGCCAACACGAAAGGGCAGCCCATCCTGGAGAGGACCTCGCCCCCTCCTTGACCCCCCTCCTTCCCCTCCTCCCCTCCCTGCCCCCCACATCATGGGGTCTCCCCCAGCACCCCCTCTCCCACACCTCTCCTGGGGCAGTGGATAAGTCCATGGCCCCTGGCTTGTGGGGATGTTCCATCCCCCACGCACCGCAGGGAGGCCTGAGCAGCTGGCCTGTGGCCTGCAGGCAATGGGGCCCAGGCAGCAGCNCCGGGGGTGGGGGTCCTTGCGGGAGAAGGGGGCACCTGCAGGAGCCTGCCACGCAGGTCAGAGTGGGCACAGCCCCCCGGAGCATGGGGGCAGGTGGGGGCAGGACCGTTCCAGGAGCGAGAAAGTCCTCTGGGAGTCACCAGTGGCCCAGGAACCCAGCACCCGAGGGCCCAGCCAGATGTCCCACCACCCAGTGTTTGGGGCTGAGGCTGGGGCAGAGCCCAGCAGGAGTCCTGGTGGGGCTGGGGATGGGGGAGGCACCCTCCAGGTTGTCTGTGGTCACCCCCAGATGGAGGCACCCCAGGTGCAGGCAGAGCATGGCACCAGGGAGTCAGCAAGCCACCTGCCAGCCCTCTGGCCCATAGGCATTCAGCCCAGCAGCCCCTGCTGCCAGGGAGGGGGCCCAGGGTGTGGCAGAAGGAACACAGACTCAGGAGACCATCCCGCAGAGGGGCCTCGCCCTCACCCACTCAGCCACACCCCAGCTGTGTGACCCAGGCCCTCTCTGAACCCATCTCCTCATCCAGACTGAGGACAAGCAGAGCGGCACTTGCAGGTACCGCGGGGTCCCTGGACCACAGACACCGGCTAGGTGGGCGGAGCAGGCGGACCCCGCGGGATGAGGCGGTGAGGGTCCAGGGCTGCTCGGGGCACGGGGCGCCCCACTGCCTCCCTCCCCCAGACATCCCAGGCCTTCCCCGACACCCGCCCGGGCGAACAGTGCCCACACTCGCTCCCCGTGTCCCCGTTTTCTCTCCCCACTACCCACTCTTCTTGTCTCCACTGAGCTGTCAAAGCAAATCGGGGCTCCCCCGTGGTAGGCCAAGATGTTCACTGGTCTCGGCCACAAGGCGACGTCACGCGGCTTCTCAACACCAGGTGCCCGCGTTGCTGGGCGGGGCCTGAGGAGGCCAGCTCGCTTCCAATTGGCTGCTGTCAGGAAGGGGCGTGACCATGACAGGAGGGGGCGGGACTGTGACTCACCCCCGGAAGCAGCGGTCAATCCTGCAGCTGGGAAGCGGGGAGGTTCGAACATTTCTGTGGCCTGGACGAGGTCCACGCTGCTGTCTGT